CGGCTCGGCTCGGCTCCGCGCTCACCTCGCCTCCTCTCTGCTTTCTCCCGCCAGGTTCCTGCACCTGTTCGTCCTCTGCCTCCAGGTTCAGGTGAGCGCCGGCCCGGCCGGGTGCCCCGGGAGGGGCGGGAGGAACGAGGCTGGAAGTCCGGGGGCAGGAAGGGACGCGCGGGGCAATCTCGGAGGGCACAGACCCCAAAACAAAGGCAGGAATCGGGGGCAGGCGGGGCGGCGAGGGTGGCACCGAACCCGCTGTGTCTGTGGGGCAGATTCGACCCCAGGCAGGAGCTGGAGCGCTGCCGGGCTTTGCAAGGGGGTGCGAGAGATTACAGGTGCCGGGAGCCCAGCCGGGCGGTGGGAGACAGCGAGGGGAAGGGAGCCGGGAGGGGCCGAGCCCTCCTCGGATGCCCCCCAAACCCCCTCGACGAAGCGGGCGCATCCAGACAGAGAGACCGAGCTGCCGGGGGCAGAGCGCTGGCGGCCTCCGCTTCGGGCAGCGATTGCTTTTAAATGGTTCCCCTTTTATTTTTCCGTGCGGGAAGCAGCGAGGCAGCCTTGGCGTCCCGCACGGGGAGGGGGAGACCGGGGGGCCGCGCTGTGCCCCCTTCGGAGGCCGAAAGGATCCGTCTCCTCTGCGTTTGCTGGGATGTCTAGAGATGTCGGGGGCCAGCTGGGCTTGGGAGCCGGGGGCAAGAAGGAAAAGTCCAGGCTGGTTGTGTCGGGAGCGGGGGTCCGATGCCCCCGACCGGGCTCGGGATAAAAGGAGCTGATGAGAAATGCAAGCGGGGCTGGGGCCGGGCCAGGCCTCTTGCTTCTCCACGCAGGGAGCTCGGGGGCTGCCGTCAGCCGTCGCAAGTAGGTGGCTTGCAAGGGCCGGGGAAGGCAGGGCAGCGGGCTGGGAAGAGACGGCCCTCGTTAAAAAGGACGTTAGCAGCCCTACGCGGCTCTGCGTTCATAAATACCAGCGCGGGTAGATGGGCAGGGGGGGCAAATCCCAGCTCCCGTCTTGGTGGCATCGACCCAGGGCAGCCTGTTGCGTCCCGTGCCCTGGACGGGGCATCCCCCCACCGGGCCAGGTGCAGGCAGCCCCCCGAGAGCGCACAGCTCGCGGCCCTCTAAGATGCCCCCGGAGGCCGGGGACCCGTGCGCAGCCCGTCAGCCCCTCCGAGGAGCAGAGATCGTAATGGTGTGTTGTATATTTTTTAATTTCCTAAAGGTAACTGTTCAGTCCCCACCTAATTTTACACAGCATGTGAGGGAGCAAAGCCTGGTGACAGACCAGCTCAGCCGGCGGCTCGTCCGCACCTACCAGCTGTACAGCCGGACCAGCGGGAAGCACGTCCAGATCCTAGACAACAAGAAAATCAACGCCATGGCGGAGGACGGGGACGCCCACGGTAAGGGCATGGGCCGGTCCCGGCCTCCTCGGGAGCCGGGAGGGGTGAAGGGCGCCCGCCTCGCGGGGGCTGGGAGACCATGCACGGGGTCGTTGGCAGGGCCGAGAGGCAGGTTGTTTCCAGGGTTGCATATATAGCTAAAAAAGAAATCCCCCTCCCAAATAAATGTGGAGTCCCCTGTCCCTGAGCGGACCCTTTCTGAGGGCACGGCTCTCTGCCAGAAATCCCGAGCGGTCCTCGAGCTGGGGCTGGGAGGCCGACTCTCAAGGGACAAGTGCTGTCCGGTGCCGGGAAGGATCCGGGCGCAGGGTCCGGCCCCGAGAGGCGGCTCCCTCGTGGGGTGCGCGGGAGAGCTGCTCCATGCCTGGGTGGCGCGTGTGCGAATTGCACGTTGAAGCGGTCGGACCCCGACGTCGGCACGGCGGGAGACCCCGCAGAGGTGGCAGGCCCCTCGCCCGCGTGGTGCAGCACCGCGGGACCGCGCTGCACGCAGGAATCGCGCCTGCTTCTCCTTGGAGCGGCGGTTTCCCTTTCTTACTCGGGGAGAGGCGTGGAAACACGGGGCTTTTCTTTCCCCTCCGGTGCTTTGGCTTGGAAACGTTAGCGTGCACTTAAACACTCGCGCCCCACGTCGCCTCGGCCGCCAGCCGCCTTATCCCAAACCACCTCCGGATCAAAAGGGCGCGAGGCGATTCCCCCCGGTCCCGGCGCGCTCTCCGCGTCTCCGGCGCGTGTGTTTTTTAAAAGGCGGCTACTGCACATTGGAAATCACGACCAAGTTTAACCGAGGCCAGGAGGAGGCAGGGGGAGCTCCCGGCGGCTTGCAAACCTCTATTAAAACGTAATAAAAAGGGGAAGCGTTTGAGGAGCGAGAGAGAAAAATGACGGATGAGCTAAACCAGGAGAAAAAAAAAAAAGCAAGAAAGAACAAGCCGTTTTTCAGATGTAAAGTTTTAAAAGGGCTGCGAGTCTGTAAATGTGAAAGTAGAGGTTCAGGATTGTTCTATATGAATCTCCAGAGAGACCCCCATGTCTGGAAGAGCGATTAAAACTCTTCTTACTTTCACCTTTTTTAACATTTCCTGAATACTTTCTGCTCTTCGCAGTCCAGTTAGGGGATCAAGTGTGTCTCGCTGCATTTTTTCAGCATTTACGTAGCCACTTTCCCTTCAACGTTTTAGCAAGAAACATAATTTTACTGGGATAAATCTGTCACGTCGGGAGGCGAAAACCTGAAGCTTTTTCCGAAAGAAAGAAAGAAAAAGAAACAAACAAAAAAAGGCCCCGCTCGACCCGGCGACTCGCTGCTGCGCAGCCCCGCGCACGAGGCGTCCGGCTCGCGGGATTTGGGATGGGAAGAAAAGGGCTGATTTATCTTCTCAAACGACCGCTCGGCCCGCTCGGACGTTTTTACTGCCGCCTTCCCGGCGGGCCGGGCGCTCGCGGGGATCTGCCGTGCTGTCGGTGGGACGGACCCGTCCGGCCTCCGTGCCCTTCCCGGCCTCTGCCCCGGCTCCGGAGCCGCGTCCCCGCAGATCCCTGCCTGGGGTGGAGCCGGGCAGGCTTGAGCCCACCCTGTGCCCGTGTCCGGGCCGGGGGCTTGCAGGGCTCCGGGTCCTGCGCAGGCAGGCCAGAGCAGCCCCCGGGCTATAAATCAGGGCCGGCTTTTGAAAAGGCAGAAAGGGAAGAGATGTGCGTCTTTGAAGGCCTGTTGTGTGCTGCTCTCCCGAGGCTTCCCCTGCCCTCCTCCCTCCCTCCCCGGCTTCCTCACTGGCAGCTGAGGGAAGGAAAATCGATGCTCTCTAAACCTCCGGCTGCCCCTCGCATCGATCCCGGCCCCCCGGCGAGGGGCGGAAGGGGACCCCGTCTCGGGGCTGAGCTGCGTGCATGGGGAGGACCGAGCTCTGGGGTGGGGGCAGAGAGCGAGTCGGCTCCCCCCGGTCCCAGCTCCGGGGCACCGAGCCGCTCCAGGCAGCCGTGGGCAGGGGCTGGGTCTGTCCGGGGCATTCGGGACGGTCGGGGTAGCTACCACCATCGTGAATGCAGCCGGCTCCAGGGTCCGCGCAGGCCGTGGCGTCCTGTGCCAGACAAGCCCTGCCCCAGGCCCAGCACATGGCCCTGCCCCAGACACCCGCCAGCCTGGGGCATTGCAAGGCGAACGTGCAGCACCGTGCGCGGGTCAGCCCTTGCAGCCCTGGGGGGTTTCCCTGGTCGCCGCGGGCACAGCACCCCAGGTCGGGCCTGTTGTTACAGGCGAAGCGTGCGGGAGGGAGAAGGCACGGGCCAGGGCTGGGCTGCGCGCTCAGCCCCTCCGCACCTCAGTCTCCTCATCTATGAAATGGGGGATGTTTGCAGGGGGTTGCTCCTGCACGGGTCTTGCTGCGACCGCAGCCACCCGGGCAGCACTGAGAGCAGCTGCTGTAGTTCAGGAGCCCGGCTGGGCACCAGCCACGGGGCGTACGGTTATGTCAAGCAAGCGGGTACGGCGCCTTCCCCCATGCCTTCGACCCCGGGGGGCGCTTGGTTGGCACGGACAAATGCCCTCTGGGCCCGGACAGGTCTCCTTCCCTTCACCCTGGGGCCGGGAGGCACCCATCAGGATCAGGCCCGCGGGGGTTTCGGAGCAGGTGCCAGCCGCCCCAGGGAGCACGCCAAAGCCCCCCGGCCGCAGTCGGGGCCTCGCTGGGCCCTCGGAGCCATGCGCACCCCGGACCCTTTGCAAGGCTGCGAGCGGGCCGCTCCCCCTGGCAGCGCGGCTCCGGCTCTCGGGTCCCGGGGCGGAGGAAGGTGACAGGGCTATTTATAGGCGCGCCATCAACTGGCGATTCGCATCGCTTCTACGGCAGCCGGGCGATGCCTCCATTAAAAAGCTGAGACCAAATCAATACGCCCTCTCGGCTGGCGCAGAGGTGAACGGCATTAGCGGGCGGCCGTCCCCGCTGCAAAGTCACCGCGGCCCCGGGGACGCAGGCCCCTCGCCTGGGGGAGGGTCGCGGCACCCTTGCCCCTCGTCGGTCCCCTCGGCTTGGCTCGGCTCCTGCCTGGCCCAGAGTCGGTGCAGGTGCCGGCGGGGCTGTTGTGCCCTGTGGTGGGGCAGCTGTGCCCGGCCTGGTCCGTGACCTCCCTCGTTCCCCGCAGCCAAGCTCATCGTGGAGACGGACACGTTCGGGAGCCGCGTGCGCATCAAGGGGGCCGAGACGGGCTTCTACATCTGCATGAACAAGAAGGGCAAGCTCATCGGCAAGGTGAGGGCGCTGGGTGTGAGGAAGGGGTGCCTGCTTCTGGGGGGGTGGGGGTGGTGCCCGGCGGCACCAACAGCTCATGGCCAATCTCCCCCAGCCCCGGTGCCCCCCTGCGGGCAGGGGGAGGCGGCAGTGGACCAGTGGCATTTGCAATGCTCTTCCAGCCTGGGCTTGGCAGGGCCAGGAGAGGTCATGGGCAGTGAGCACGTGCAGCGTGTGATAAGTGTGAGTGCAATGAGTGTGAACAAACGAGGAGCCTGGATGCATGTGCTCCCGACCCCCTCCCAAGCACACCCGTGAGCCACGTGGCGACCAGCCGTGGTCTGCTCCTAGCCGGGCAGCTTGTCCCATTGCCCCGCTCTCTCCTTTCCTAAAGGGGACTGTGAACCCCACTCAGCCCCGGACACCCCGCCCCCCCGTCCAGCCGGCGCTCTCCAGCCCCGTGCAAGCCCCGAGACGGGCAGGACGGACCTGGCTCTGACCCCGCACGGGGCAGCTCTGATGCCCCCGCTCCCTGGGCCCTGCTCGGTGCTGGGCTGCCCGTGCTCCGTGATTCCCCGGTGCCCGCGGTGCCGTGGCTGGGGGCAGGCTGCGTGCTCGGAGCTGTCCATGTTCAAGGCCTGGCGGCGATGGCTGGTGTCGCTGGCAGAGTCTGGGCTAGCGGTGGGTGAGCTGGAGGGTAACCCCGGGGCTGGGGCCGTGGACGTGGGGACCCCGGCTCCACCTGGGACCGGTGGGGACGTCCCTTTGGGCTCCTGCCTTGCTCCCGGGGGTGGTTCATTTCTCTCACCCACCTAGTGTGCATCTCCCCCCATCTGCCTGCTGCGGCATCTGGCTCGACAGGGGGAGGGAGGTGGGAAACGCTGCCAGTCCTGGTCAGCATGACCTTGGCATCGTCCTTCAGGGGGTCGTTGCAGGACCAGAGCGCTGCGGCGCTAGGAGCTGCACAGGCAGGGAAGGATGATGCCCGTGGGCTATTCACGGGGTATACGTCAGCCGGAGGGCAGTGGCTGCAGGATCAGGCCCCTCAAGGTGACCCGACCAGCATCGTCTGGGGCTCAGAGTCCAGATCCCAATCGATGTCCTGACCTTCGGGTGGGCCCAGAGGGGTTTGTGAGTGCTTAGGAAGGACTCGGGGGGCCTGGACGCGAGAGATGGGGGCAGTGGAGACGGCAGCACTGCAGGAAGCTCTGTCTTCACCTCCCATCTTCATGCCGGGGGAACGCAGAGCAGGCTTTCAATGGGAAGGGAGCAAATTACTAAGGTACCGGAGCGGGCGACAGGACCCAGTTGCACTGGGGTCATCCTGCTCCAGCTGGGAGCACGGGTGGCTGTCAGCTCCTGTGCAGGCTTCGGGGCAGCTGGGCGCGGAGCACCAGCGCTGCCGGCCTGGGGCTTCCCTGCAATGCCCCAGCTCCGGGAGTCAGGGGATGACGTGAGAACTGAAATCTCCTTTCCAGAAAAACCCAGTGGTTTCCAGCAGGGAGGGGCTGGGTCTTGGGAGCCTGCGGGTCTCCGAGCCACTGTCACAGGGAGGGCACGGCTAGGATTCAGAGAGACCTGGACGCACTGGAGGATTGACCCAAAAGAAATCTCATGAGGTTCAGCAAGGACAAGTGCAAAGTGCTGCACTGAGGAGGGAGCGATCCCCTGCACCGGTGCAGGCTGGGGGGGATGGGCCGGGCAGCAGCTCTGCAGAAAAGGACCTGGGAGGGCAGGGGGCAAGAAGCTGGACAGGAGCCAGCAGTGTGCCCTTGTGCCAAGAAGGTGACCGGCATCCTGGGCTGCATGGGTAGGAGCGGTGCCCGCAGATGGAGGGCGGTGATCCTTCCCCTCTATTCAGCACTGGGGAGGCCACATCTGGAGTCCTGTGTCCAGCTGTGGCCCCCACTGCAGAAAGGATGGGGACACATTGGAGAGAGTCCAGCGGAGGGCAATGAAAATGGTTGGGGGGCTGGGGGACAGGACAGGTGAGGAGAGGCCGAGGGAACTGGGCTGATTGAGTCTGCAGAAGGGAAGAGCGAGGGGGATTGAATAGCAGCCTTCACCTCCCTGCAGGGGGGCTGCAAAGAGGACGGAGCTGGGCTGGTCTCAGCGGGGGCAGACGACAGGACAAGGAGCAATGGGCTCATGTTGCAGCAGGGGAAGTTGAGGTTGGATATTTGGACAGACTTTCTCATGAGAAGGGCAGTGAAGCACTGGAACAGGCTCCCCAGAGCGGTGGTTCAGTCTCATCCTTGGAGGTGTTTAAGCCCCAGGTAGACAAAGCCTTGGCTGGGATGCTGTAGCTGGGGCTGGTCCTGCTTGGAGCAGGGGCTGGATCAGACGTGACCTCCCGAGGTCCCTTCCACCCCCATGCCCTCCATTGCGTGATCTCAGGATCTGAAGGCATCTCCCGGCAGGCACTGACCCTCTCTGTCCTGCGTTTCCCCCGCAGAGCAACGGCAAAGGCAAGGACTGCGTCTTCACGGAGATCGTCCTGGAGAACAACTACACGGCGCTGCAGAACGCCAAGTACGAGGGCTGGTACATGGCCTTCACCCGCAAGGGCCGCCCGCGCCGCGGCTCCAAGACCCGGCAGCACCAGCGCGAGGTGCATTTCATGAAGCGCCTGCCCAAGGGCCACCACACCACGGAGCCCCATCGCCGCTTCGAATTCCTCAACTACCCCTTCAACCGGAGAAGTAAAAGGACTAGGAACTCCAGCCGCCGGGCAGGGCCTTGACCGGCCCGGCCGTGCCCTCCTCTCCTTGCCGTGGAGACGGGCGGACACAGAGTAGAGAGACTTTCCTGTACGGTGATCCCCAAAAAAATGAGAGGAAAAAAAAGGAGGGAAAAAACAAACAATAAAAGCCGGGATCTCGTTGTTTATAACTTTTTTTCTTGCTTTGATTTTGGTTCTTTTGTGGTCGGAGAAAAGACCCAGACAGACAGACAGAAGCTCTATTTTTGTATTGCCGGCGCTGGAGAGGACCGACTCGAGAGACTCGCGGAGGGGGCACCGCGCGCCGACGTAGCCGCCTTCTAGTCCCTTCGCGGCGGTGTCGTCTCCGTTATTTTTGTAGTGCTAGGGGGAAACGGGGGAAATCACTGGTGTTTAAAGCGAATGAACGGGGGGAGGGTGGGGGGAGCTATCTGGGACCAAAGTGCTACTTCAAGCAGATGGGTTCATGCGAGTTTGAGCAGACAGGATAGGAAAGAGCGCGTGGGGAGAGAAGAGCTCAGGCCAGGATGCTGCTCCCGTCTCTGCCGGGGCACGCGGTGCAGGGCGATGCCCGGGCCGCGTTGTCCGAAGCTCTCGGGGATAACCAGACCCGCTCCTTTCGCCGAGCGAGAGGGTCTTGGACGCTGCTTGGATCCCCCCGCAAACCGCGGCCGGTCTCCCGGGGCCGGGGGACCAGCTCTCGAGTGAGGTCCGGCCCGGAGACGCCACCTCGCGCCCGCGACACCCGCCTCGGGATGTCCCCGGGCACCTTGGAGGGAGCGGCGGTGGGCAGCACACGGGGAGATATATATTTTTCTCATGGAAAATGTGGACTTTTTGCTGAAACCTCAACTTCTCCATTCTCGTTGCACCCAAAAGCTGAAAAGTTTCCACCCCAAAACATGAAGCTTGAGATCGTTTGGGCATTTTTGGCTGGTTTTTTAATTGTTAGAACGGGTTTGGTGTTCAGTCCCCGCGTCTTCCATGTCCAGGCTTCAGTTTTCTGACAAAAGAAAATGCTGTTTTTGTAACAGGCAGTTTCCAGGGAAAATTGTGCATTGTCCAAAGCCCAATTTCTTGTCCAAAACACCCCAAACTGCCCCGATCCAGCATCCCCCCCTGCCCGCCCAGCTCTAAACCAAGCGCTGGGCACCACCACCGCCCTGCAGCGGGTCCGAGCACGGCACACGCCGCTGGGGGGAGCGAAGCAGACACTGGAGTGAAGCCAGAGCCCGGGTCCGATCTCTTTCTGAGTGTTTGGGGTGTCTTGTTTTGTTCTTTTATTATTATTATTATTTTAATTTCCTCGAGGACTTTTTGTTGCGTGTACAAATTTGAATATGAGATCATTGAAATATTTATTTAATATGTGCATTAAAAAAATGGCATTAGTATTGACGCGCCTGTCTGATTTTGGGGGGTGAAGGCGATGGGGAGAGGCGTGGGGTGGGGGTCTCTGGGCTTGGAAGTGGGGGTCGGAGAGGGGCGAGGCCAAAAGCCTGGTGTGAAGGGCATCGGAGGACCCCGTGCAAGGCGGTGGCCAGTGCTTTGTGGGCTGGAGAGAAGGAGCCCTTGGGTCCTTGGCATTTTGTGCCCCAGGGAAGGGTTTTGTACCCAGGGACCTTTGGTGGGAAGGCAACGGGGAGACTCTCCAAGCTCGTGGGGTTTTTCTTTCTGCCTCCTCATCTTGTTCTGACTTTGAGGAGGCGGCTGGGGGGCAAAGGTGTCCGGAGAGATGGCAACGGGGGACAGAAGCATCTCTTTGCCCCTCTGCCAAATGCACAGAAGCCTCCCGACCGGCTCCTGGGTTTAGCTGAACCATGCCAGGGCCCTGCTCGTCCAGGCCAGCTTGGGCATCGTGCCCATCCAGCCCGGCTCGTGTCGAGTCGATCCCGAGCAGAAAGGCGCCGAGCGTCGGAGCATCTTGCCATGGTGGCCGGGCTGCCCACTGCTGCAGAGGTCCGTGGCTCCGTGGTCTCTCCTGCTGTCCTCCCGTGGAGGGGTGCAATGGGTTGCGGCCCCCCCAGGCTTTTGGGGCTCGAGTGCCTCAGGGCTGCAGGTGAGGGTTTGAAGCAGGGCACCCCGGGTTACGGGGTGCCTACGACAGCAGGGACCGGCACAGCCCCGGCACCTAGCATGCTCCGTGCCTCTTGCCAACGACCGTCCTGTTCTTTATTACCCAGTGTCTTGCTGCAGCGCCCAGGTCCCGGAGAGGGGCCGAACCCGCGGCGGCCTAGCTCAGCTCAGCTCAGCACCCTTGTTCCCAGCCCTCTTGCTGGTGCAATGGGGAGGAACCCCCTGCTGCCGCCCCAAGAGGGGCACGGACACCCCCAGAGCCGCCCGCGGCTCGCTGGGCTGCCAGATGCCGTCCGTGCACCGTGCTGGCCGGGCCTGGCTTTGCCCCCACGGCGCCTGGACCCCGTCCTTCCCGAGCCCGGAGCAGAGCGGCCTCTCCATCTAGCCACGGACCCGGAGCGCGACACCCCTTTGGATGCCTCCCTTGCCCGTGGGATGTGGGCTGGCGCTGGCACTGGACCCGGTGCCGTATGCCGGTCCCTGGCCCCGGGCAACGGGCCCAGGGGGGCTGTTTATTGCCTCGGGGTCAGCTTTCAAACCTCTGCCCCCATCCCCCTCTTCTAATTAATGCTGGGGACGAAGCCCTGGCTTTATTGTGGCAGGGCCTGAGGCTCCCTGTGGGAAAAGTCACACCTTCTGAGCAGCTTCTGATGCCCTGCGAAGGAAGGGCCCGGCCAGGAAACGCTTTCATCTGGGACATTAATTACACACGTTTCATTTGTTTGAGAGCAATTCCTCTCCAGCGAGGAGGGGCCGGTGTCTCTGCCGCGCTCTGCAAAGCCCCCTCCTTCCCAAGGGGGTTATAGCCCCGCGAGGACTCAGCAGGGAGAGGCCGCGGCTATTCGCCCTTGCCGTTATTCCAGACCAAACGGGCTCCGCCGCCAGCACCCCGCATCCTGCCAGGGGCTGAGCTCCCCGCGCCTCCCTCGCCCGGCTCTGAGCACCCAGCGGGCGCGCGGCGCCAGCCCGAAGGATGCTGCTGTCCTGCCCTGCAAAGCTTCCTCCCAGGGCATCTGCACCCTCCCGGGGCAACAGGCGTCGATCCGGGGTGGGGGGGGTCCAGGTTGGGGCTGGCAGGGTGGAGGAGCTCACTAAGTGAGTGCAAGCTTGTGAAACGAGTGTGCGTGTGCATATGTGTGTGGAGGGGAGGGCGGCCTTTCCATGCTATATAGACTGTGTCTAATTCTCCATTGGGCCCTTTCTCCTCCCCCCGGCCCCCTGGGCTCGCTGGACCTCCCTGCCCCCTTCCCCCCGTCCTGCTGCCTCCGTGCCCCCATCCTTCCCTCTCCTCCCGCCCAGGTGGGACCATGGCCGGCCGGCCGAGGCCACAGTCCAGGGATGTGGAATAAGGTGGTGGTATCTTCACAGCCCCTTTCCCGGCCATAATGATCACACTTAGCGCCTCGGTAGGCACTTTGCATATTCAAAGCACCTATGCGCTGGGTCTAATTAGTGACACCCGGGCCCAGCGGCAGGGGGGTGTCCCCGGGCCGGAGGAGCGCTCGTCACGTGCGCGCGGTTCA